ATACATGAAAACTATATGAATTTCTAATATACAAAATAAGTGAATACATACCTTGATCCATGATAGTATGAAATCCTCTTTTAAGAAAGAGAAATCTTGAATGGAAGATCTTGATCTTTAAGTTCTTGACTTGTCTAAGATCTTCAAACCACTTCTCTCTCTCTAGGCGATGGGAGCCTTCTTGTGGTGACAACTTAAGTTTTTGATGGAGAGTATGGTTTGGGACCTTACACTATTTATACTCTAGAGAGAGAAACTCTCAAGTTATTCATTCAATGAACTTCATTAAATTGATTAATGTATCTCATACATTCATGATACATAATGCATCTTCTATATTAATGAATTCATTAGATAGATTAATGCATCTTACATATTCATAATAGATACATAATGCATCTCTAAGATTCATTCATAATAAATCCATCACATTCAATGTATTAGCATTAGTCTTCTATACATTGTATAAATAGGTGCATTCATCAATGATTAGTCACCATCTAATTGATGTACATGTATCTTAGTTAATGAGATGAATCTAGTATAATCATGCATAAGCTTCGAAAAGTTGGAGAAAGAGAATGGCCTGAAAAAGTGATCCAAGAAGTAGTTTTTCGGACTGATATACAAACAGGTCCGCTCGAGCATCAAGCCCAAAATTTGGACATCAACCCTTGGTTTCCAAACACAACCAACCTGTTTCAAACCTGCCCAACACGACCCAAGACCCATATACAAAGAGTAAAGGACGGAAACGGGAATAAGACAACAACACATCCACGGAACTGAGTCTGGAATACAATTAAACAATGAAGGGAAAACCGGGATCGCTATATTAATGGTTAAATGTTATCAGCAAATACAAATTAGAATAGGAAGATATCACTTATTATTGATCAACGATTTATCAGTGTACTCTTGTTTTGGTTGATTGAAGATAGATACAGTATTTTAAGGGTTAATTTTTGAATATGTTTTGCTTCCTTAGTAATAGCTAAGTTCTAAGGAAAGAAGGTGAGGCATCTTTGAGTTATACAAAGTTTTTTTCTTTTTTTTTTTAGTTGACCTATGTGAAATTTGTTTCCTAGTGTTCCTTACCATATTTGCTTCCATGATAAATATGTGCTCTATTATATGTTTTTTTTTTAATTTTATTATTATTTTTTTTCCCTTATGTTGTAAAGTTGATTGCTTCTGAAGAATACATATGGCACCATTCAATGATGAATATTTATATGTTGAAATTACAAATAAGGTATGTACAATGAAATTGGTGTATTGAAGCATTTGTATGGTCTATTGTCACTATTATTTACTTTGCACATAAATATATGCTTGCTTTGGCTTTAAATGTCTACATGTTATTAGTATAACTTAATTTTCATTGAAAGCACATCCACTAATAATTATTTTTGTTTTTGGTAACACTAAAATTTTATGGACTTGGCTTGGGGGATGTTGTTGCCACAAAGAATAGCTTTGGCTCTTCTACTTCGGTTGCTGACAGTGGCTTATAACAAATTACCTAACCTCAAAATCAGATACAAGTTGATATTGATGCACTCATATAGGCAAACAACCATAGCATCTCGGCCTCCCAAATGCCCAACTGAACACATCGCCTATTGCTGTTGAATTGGGATTGCAACAGTGGGATTTGACTTTCATTGCTCTTTGGCATTGAGTTTTTGATTTTCAACATATCAAGAGTCTCAACATGTTTCTGCACTCTTGTCACCTTCAAGAGAGTGATGTCAAAATTGAAAATTTAGTATCTTAAATATCTATAACTTAGAACTCTTTGAACGGTTTTGAAGTTGAGGACAATTTTTGATGTTTATAAACATAATTTTTGGATGGTTTGGAATGTACAAATAGATTTTGGATGTTCAAAACTTATGAATGGTTTTTTTTGAAATTTGAAAGTTGAGGACAATTTTTGATGTTTATAAACATAATTTTTGGATGGTTTGGAATGTACAAATAGTTTTTGGATGTTCGAAACTTATGAATAGTTTTTTTTTATATTTGAAATAATATTTTGGTGGTTGATTGATACTTATATATATATATATATATTTGTGACATTTGTTTGTAATGTTTTTTTAGATTGTACAGAACATGTGAAATAGAATCTGCTGAATTGGAAAAAAAAATTATACATATTCTACGACGGGGAAAATAGGCCGTTATGTTAAATATTTAATGACAAGCATTGTGTGTCATGGTTTGTCTCTTGGATTAACGGCGTACAAAAGTAGTCATAGAAAAATTAAACATGACGTATAAGATGCGCTGTTAAAAGTTTTTAATGGCATGCTATAGCATGTCGTTGAAAGTAAATGACTTTTCATGACTGGCCATAATATGACTTTACCTTACACATCGTAAAATCATATCCATGGCGTGCATTTGGTGCCGTAAAAACCTTTTTTGTTGTAGTGTTTGGTCAAAGATTCTTTCTAAAATCAAGCAATTTGTCTCCAAAATACATATATATATATATATATATATATCTTCAAGGGGGTGGCTGGCCTATGTGGGGTGGATTTTGAGGGGATTTTTATTTTTATTTTGTGTACAATTTGTGTACTATTTGTAGATATTTTTGTGTACAAAAGATGTAAATAAGTTTAAAGGCACAACATGTTATATATAATAGTACTAACTTGGGGCTAATAAAATTGTGAGGATTTTGGCTTTAATTTATAAATTAGAACATTTATTTAAATGTAGAATTAAATTAAATTAGGGTTAGAAAATCTAATTTGGTTTAGATTTCTTGTTTCGAATAAAAAGGCTATCAATCGACAAACATGATGCAAACTGGAAAAATATAGGGTTTCAAGTGGTAAATCCATATTTAGGGAGTCATTTAATTAGTATTAGGGTATTATAAATGATTCCTAGGCTACCGAAATCGATTAGGATTTGCGAGTTTTCGCTTCTAAGGTTAGAGTTGTAATTATTTAAGAAATCAAGGGTCTTCATTACAAGATTTCAAAAGTAGGGGGCTTTTAAGAAAATAAAATTTTCAGGGGCCTTACAATCACTACCGCTACCACTACCATTACCACCACTACCGCCACTACCATTGCCACCATGCTGCTACCACCACTGCCACTACTACCATACTATCATCTTTTTCACTATTGTCATTGTTTCCTTAAGCACCACTATCACTATGCTACTGCTACAACCACCACCATGCCGCCGCCTCCACCACCATCAATGCTACCACTACCACAACCACAACCACCACTACCATCACAATATAAAAATTGAAATATACAACTTGAAAATAATAAATTTCTAATTTGCTCTTATACATATCAAATAACTTATTTTTAGTTCAATAGACCTCGTTTGAGAACAGGCTATTTTAGTAACTTTTTAGCTAAAATATGAGGTAAAAAAAAACTAGTATGTTTGGGGTGACTTTTGGCTTTTTATGAAAAGATGTGCAAAAAGTAGAGAGAAAATGGAATCTTTGACTTTTTGATATAGGTTATAGGCTTTTTTATTTTTTTAGTAACTTTTGACTTTTAAGCTAAAACAGTTACTTGCCAAACGAGGTTGGGCCTCGTTTGGCATGCAACACTTTTAGCCTAAAAGTCAAAAAGTTACTAAAAAAAATAAAAAAAAAAACCTATAACTTATACTAAGAAGTCAAAGATTCTTTTTTCTCTTTATTTTTTGCACATCTTTTCATAAAAAATAAAAAAGTCAGTCCAAACATACTAGTTTTTTTTTTTTTTAACCTCATATTTTAGCCAAAAAAATTACTAAAATAGTCTGTTCCCAAATGATGCCTTAAATTTGTATCAAACAACTTTTTAACTTACAAAATTCAGAATTCAGTTTTTAATATTTAATTTTCAGTCCTCAATTTTTAATTTTTAGTTTTATCAAACATCACCTTATAAATACGTTTGTTTTGTCTTAATGTTGTCTTGGAAAATGCAAAGAGAGAAGGAAAGTATGCAATTAATCTTAATTTTCTCAAGCCAAAAAAATAAAATTCAAGTTTTTATCAAATTTCTATTAGGGAGGCCATTCAATTTTACTTTTCAATAACATTGCCGCAAGGAAGATTCTAGGGTTAATTACACTTCATAGTTTGATTCAAATTTTAATTTTGTTCTTATAATTTCAAATTAAACAATTTGTTCCCTACATTTAGTAGTTTCAATTTGGTCATTCCCACTGCAACAAAAAGCAGTTTTGGCAACCAAAAATGTAAATTTCGTCGCTGAAAGTAGGACAATTGGCGACTAAAATTGAATTAGTAGCCAAAAGTGAAGACTTTTGGCGACTAAAACAGTTTAGTAGCCAAATGCATACTTATTGGCGACTAAAAATCAGATTGGTCGCTGATTACATGCGTTTTAGCGACTAAAACAATTTTAGTAGCAAAAAGTGAAGGTTTTTGGCGACTAAAAAAAATTAGTAGCCAAAGTTATAGGTTTTGGCGACTAAAAAATGGTTTGGTCGCCGATTGTAGGTGTTTTACCAACCAAAAAAAAATGTTGTAGCCAAAAGGTTTTTGGCTACTAAAAAAAATTTAGTAGCTAAAGTGGACAATTGGCGACTAAAATTGAGTTTAGTCGGCAAAAGTGGCAGTTTTGGCGACTAAAAATCAGTTTAGTCGCCGAAAGTGGTCATTTTTAAGCGGAAATTAATTTTTTTTGCGACTAAATTATTGGGTAGTAGCCAAAACTAAGGTTTTTGGCGACTAAAAAGAAATGTAGTCGCCAAAAGTGTCTTCCTTTTTTTTTAATAAATAATTTATTTTTTACATAAATTATATTGAATAAAAATAATTATGTTTATATATATAGTTTAATATTAATACGGGTCAATATACTATATAAATAATATATATTGCATATATATTCTAAAAATCATTTTTTACATTTTCTGTTGTTAATGGAAAATAAGTCTATTTGGGTATAAAATGTTTTTTTCAGTATTAAAAGGTGAAAAATATTTTCCAAACTATATCATGGCTACAATCACTGTCACCATCGTCTCTGCCACCACTTTCACTGCCCAACAATCACTGTTACGACCATCTCTATCTCTTTACTACCACCACACCACTACTGTCGCCGCCACCGCCGTCGCTACTACACCACTACCGCCACTACCATTGCCACCATGCTGCTACCACCACTGCCACTACTACCATACTATCATCTTTTTCACTATTGTCATTGTTTCCTTAAGCACCACTATCACTATGCTACTGCCACCACCACCACCATGCCGCCGCCTCCACCACCATCAATGCTACCACTACCACAACCACAACCACCACTACCATCACAATATAAAAATTGAAATATACAACTTGAAAATAATAAATTTCTAATTTGCTCTTATACATATCAAATAACTTATTTTTAGTTCAATAGACCTCGTTTGAGAACAGGCTATTTTAGTAACTTTTTAGCTAAAATATGAGGTAAAAAAAAGTAGTATGTTTGGGGTGACTTTTGGCTTTTTATGAAAAGATGTACAAAAAGTAGAGAGAAAATGAAATCTTTGACTTTTTGGTATAGGTCATAGGCTTTTTAATTTTTTTTAGTAACTTTTGACTTTTAATCTAAAACAGCTACTTGCCAAACGAGATGCAACACTTTTAGCCTAAAAGTCAAAAAGTTGTTAAAAAAAATTTAAAAAAAAAAAATCTATAACTTATACTAAGAAGTCAAAAATTCTTTTTTCTCTTTACTTTTTGCACATCTTTTCATAAAAAATAAAAAAGTCAGTCCAAACATACTAGTTTTTTTTTTAACCTCATATTTTAGCCAAAAAAATTACTAAAATAGTCTGTTCCCAAACGAGGCCTGAAATTTGTATCAAACAACTTTTTAACTTACAAAATTCAGAATTCAGTTTTTAATATTTAATTTTCAGTCCTCAATTTTTAATTTTCAGCTTTATCAAACATCACCTTATAAATACGTTTGTTTTGTCTTAATGTTGTCTTGGAAAATGCAAAGAGAGAAGGAAAATATGCAATTAATCTTAATTTTCTCAACCCAAAAAAATAAAATTCAAGTTTTTATCAAATTTCTATTAGGGAGGCCATTCAATTTTACTTTTCAAGAACACTGCCGCAAGGAAGATTCTAGGGTTAATTACACTTCATAGTTTGATTCAAATTTCAATTTTGTTCTTATAATTTCAAATTAAACAATTTGTTCCCTACATTTAGTAGTTTTAATTTGATCATTCCGTCTAAATTTAAGATTAAAATTAATACTTTTGAGATACTCGCTTCTTCTTTTTTTAAAATATTTTTTATGGTATGTACATACACAAAATTAATAGAAATTTAGATGGAATGATCAAATTGAAACTACAGTTAAATTGTAATGACCAAATTGTTTAAATTAAACTATAGGAGTTAAAGTAAAATTTACGTCAAATTATAAGAGTGAAAAGTATAATTAACAACAAGATTCTAAATTCACCCATTAATATTCTGTCTGCATCACACGTACAAACATTTCTTGGGCAAATTATATTTTTTCCTTTATATTTTAATCAAATTTTATTTTGATTCATATTGTTTAAATTGAACAATTTAGTTCTTATACATTAAATTCAGTTTTAATTTGACAATTTTATTCAAATTTCTGTTAATTTTTGTTACTTGTACATCTCAGGAAAAATTTAACTTCAAAATTAAACCGAAAAACCAAATTGAAATTAAATTTAAATTGTTAAGATCAAGTTGTTCATTTGAAATTATATAAATCAAAGTGAAATTTGAGAAATTATAGGAGTTAAAAGTGTAATTTATTCATATTTCTTCATAAAGTACAAAGTTTGCAAGGATGTACAGAATCATTAAAAATGCATATTTGAGAGGAGAT